AAGCCAGTGTGCCTGCAGTTCCCACTGCTTCTATTTCCAGCTGGCTAGAGACAGCTAATGCAGGGGATGTGGGGCTCTGATGTGCTGCCCTCCCTGGTCCCTCTCTGAATCTGGATTAGGTTTGGTGCTCTTGGACCCTCTTAATACCTTCAAAGGCTTGGTGTGCTGACAAGAGAAAAAGCCATATATACACACCTTTTCCTACAGTGTGCCTGCAGTTCCCACTGCTTCTATTTCCAGCTGGCTAGAGACAGCTAATGCAGGGGATGTGGGGCTCTGATGTGCTGCCCTCCCTGGTCCCTCTCTGAATCTGGATTAGGTTTGGTGCTCTTGGACCCTCTTAATACCTTCAAAGGCTTGGTGTGCTGACAAGAGAAAAAGCCATATATACACACCTTTTCCTATCTAGACTAAATGGGCTGCTGTCACAGGTTAGCCCATGTCAAAAGAGGATGCTTCCGCCGATCAGGGTGTGGATGCTCACTCCCCCGGTGGTATTTACCAACCCACTCCCAACTTCCATTTCAACACAGACCTCCAAAACCCACTCAACATCTCAAAACACACCACTCCTTCTTGAGGAGCAACTCTCCAAACCACAACCAAACCTTGTTCCTTTTATAGTGGTTAATATTACAGCTCATATAGAAGGCTGCAAGGGAAGAGACCTGCTCGTTATCACTTGGGGTCCCTTCAAGACTTATTCGTCATCCGAGCCTGGCTGCACAGCTTGAAGCAGTTGGAAAAGCCTGGAGGCTGCTGGGACAGCTTGGGAAGGCTCCTTGCAGCCTAAAATTATTTTAAGGCGCCCTTTCCATTTCACGCTCTGCTGGAGAAGACAATTAAAGCCTCTGGTTTTACACATCACACAATACTGTGAGCAGGCACGTACCCGGGGAGCATGGGGAGGTGAGGGGTGCTCGCGCACAGCTCTCCAGCACCCAAGCCGCATGCTCCTCTTGGCTCCATGATGGCAAATGCAAGGAGACGGCACCTTTGCTCTGCCCGTGGGGACCCTGGCACCAAAGCATGTTACTTCCAGCCCACAGAGTCCTATTGCACAAGGAGGGCTCCCACTGTGGGCATGGGTGCAGCATGCAAGGTGCTAATGCGAGAGGACTGTTTCCTGGAGCATCTCAGTGCCCATGGGATATCAGTGGGATTCATTCAGCTTCTTCCCATGGCCTGGCATGGGCTGCAGAGCAGGCTGGCCCTTCCAGCCAGGAAGGGCAGATGCTGGGAGCAGAGCTGAGGCAGGAGGCACAGGGGGAGGTGGACAGAACTAGAGCTACTGCCAGGAGAAACAGGTAGAGGAGAGGAGGGTGGCCTGTCCCCTTGTCATCACCTCAGGGCTGCTACCCCACACTTGTCATGCCCTGCAGAGCTGTGCTCTGTCCATCCCCTCAGACATGCAGCTGCAGGAACATCATATGTTTGTCCTGACTCTGCTGTGGTTGCACTGAGCGAGGAAAACCTGAGAGCAGTGCAACAAGTGGCTCAGAGCACACAGTGCCCAATGGTGCCAGCCAGGCTGGTTCCAGGTCCCCTCCAGCTCCTCTCACCTACTGATCATCCCATACCATGTACACCCAACCTGCTTGCCCTGCTGGGAAGGCTGAGGATGCTCTGCATCATAGGGTTATTGGGGAGCAGCAGCAGGGATTCCATGTCACGGGAGCCCCTGGCTTCACCCTGTTCCACTCATATTTGCTGATTAAGTGGGCCCATGATGGGCATCTGCTGCAGTGCTGAGCTTGCACTCACAACAGCCAGCACTGGGACTGCTGCCGGAGCCTGGAGTCAGCAGAAAGCCTTCAACACAGGCAGCTCCCTGAAGAGGAGGAAGATGCTGGAGGGCTCCTGGCACCTGGCTCCAGCTTCAGGAGACGGTCCCCAGCCAGGCTGGGTGCTCTCAGGCCAGCCCAGCCAGGAGGACCAGCGGGATGACCACCTCCTGGTAGGCAGTTCCACAGCCACCTGCACCCATGCCTTGTTGTTGGGGCCCCGCATCCCTCAGTGGCTCTGCTGGAGCAGCTCTTCCTGGCCACCAATGTGATGAGCAAAGCCCCTCCTGCTCTGGCACAGCAAGGGGACCCCTGCTCTGGTTGCTGCCCTGCAAGAGATGTGCCAGGGGGACGCTGCCCATGGGCAGGGTGCTGCAGCCCCTCACCCAGGCTCCTCAGCAGCAGCAGAGCTGGATGCGTTTCCAAGGCAACAGGCAGGCTGCCTGCACAGGATGCGCCCAGAAGGCAGGCTGGGACTAGCGTGGTGGGGACACCCCAGAGCTGGGCACAGGTAGCACCAGGTCAAGGCTTGTGTCCCCACACCTTGGTCTCCAGACGTGTCCCACCACACGCAGGCCACCACATGCTCTGGCTGCTTAGCTCCAGCACACAAACCACCTCTCCAAAGGTCTACAGCATAGTGGTGCTTCTTCCCCCTTTGCCACCCTCCAGGGAAGGTGGTCATACTGTGCCACAGGGAAAGCCCTGGGACGCCAAAGTTAGCATGACAAGAGTTAGCATAAGAGTGCAGGATGAAGCTCCCACACCTCCCCAGGCCATGCACCTCTGGGTGTGACACACATGATCCCTATTACACACCGGGATAGGGTGGCCACAGCCCCAGGACTCACCTCCAGGACCCTGCCACTGATGTACCGGTCGCAGGTCTCGCACTTGATGCCAAACTGGGCATGGTAGTCGGACTCGCAGTACGGGATGCCATCCCTTTGGGAGAGGGAGGAGAAGGGGGTGAGGGCAGGTAAGCAGGGCTGGGCTACCCCTTGCTGCAGCCCCAGCCCCAGGGGCACAGCCTGGCATTGGCCAACACAGCCAAGCCTTCTGCCAGGCTGGTGGCACTCACTTGCTGATGTACTCGCCGGTGAGGATGATCCCGCATGTTTGGCACTTGAAGCAGCTGACGTGCCACTGCTTCTCCAGGGCCAGGAGGGACTGGCCTTGCTTGATCTCCTCCTTGCAGCCTGCGCAGTCTGGGGGGACAGAAGAGGGGTGTGGGGGACCTCTGCAGCTCCTCATGGGGCTCAGCAGTGCAGCAGGAACACCCACATCTGCTGATCCACACAGAGGCACCCCAGCTGCTTCATCTGGCACACCCCTTGCACCCAGAGGACCCCCTTTTCTAGGGATGCTGCTGTTTTAAACACCCTGCTCCTGAGACCATCCCAGGGGCAGCCTTTGGGGATCACTTCTCAAACAGGGAGTCATATCTTCATGAGAATATGCCACCTTGCTTGCTCCCAGCAAAAGAGCCAGGAGGAAAACCTCCTGCTGGAGCTGGGACCTCCATGGCACCACCAGCACTTAGCCACCCTGGCCAAGCACCCACCAGGCAAGATCATGGGCTGCCAGGGCCACGCTGCTCTGACAGGTCCTGGGGGGCTCCCATACAGGCAGGAGTAATGGGAAGGGACCGGCAGTGCGTGCAGCAGAGGAAGGGCTGTGCTCTCCGGCAGCCACGTCCGGCCCCGCTGCAGTACTGACGAGACTCCCTTCCTTCCCCTCTTCCCCTGGCTCCCGCCAAGGCTGGGAGCAGGAAGCACATGGACCCCTGACCTTGACTCCTCCTTGTCCTCTTCTCCCCTGGGCAGCAGGTTTGCCCGAATGGGGTTTCTCCTTAACCCCCTCCCTGCCACCTCCCTCCCCACTGTGGCACCGGGGAGGTACACGAGCACAGCACAGGCAGCCTGAGCAGGCTTTGCCACTCAGCCCATCCCAGGTAGCTCTGCACCAACTCCCTGCCTGATGGACAAATTTAAGGGGGGAGGATTTTTGACCCCGGCAAAAGCAGGCTGGCCAACTCAGCTGAGGCAAGATGTGCTCCCTCTCACACCGGTCCTGCTGGTTTCTGAGCTGCTCACAGTGAGAGGATGAGCATCCTACTCGGGATGTCCTGCCTGTGGAGTGCACCAGCACGGGCTCCAGCAGGCACACCTCCCCTGCCAGGGGCACATGCAGGCAGCAGGGTACATCTGGCTGCTGCCTATGAATAAGCACGGTGCCCTCAGGTAACCCTGCCATGCAGGCTGGGACGAGTGCTGGGCTGTCGGGAAGGGGATGGGAAGAGAGAGGAAGAGGCAGTCCATGTGGCTGCCCTTCCCCTGCCCTGGCCCTTCTATGGGAGACAGCAGAGTGCTGCAGCTGGCCGCAGCCTGCCTCTGGGCAGCTTTGGGTGCTGATGGAGACAGATGTCCTTCAGCTGGTGCTCCTTTAAACCCTGCCACAACCCCTCACTCCATCAAGGCCATGGTGAGAGCTGGGGGAGGCAGCCTGGGGGGGTTTCCAGGGACCCATCAACACCAGCAGGTGACAAGCACCCTGGGTGACACCATGGTCCTGGGTCCACCCCTGGCTGCAGGACTCTGCCCAGGTTACAGACACTGATGCTCCAGGGCTTGCTGAGAAACATGGGATGCTCTACAGTGGCTTGGGGCAGAGAGCCAGTGGCACGACAAAACTGGGAGGACAAAGCATGGCATGAAAGAAGGGTATCCCAAGGAATATCCTGGGTCAAAAGCAAGGCCAAACCTATCTAAAAGAGTCTGTCCATTGCTTGGGTTCATTGGTCCAAGTGGATGAACGTAAGGAACCTTTCACTGCTTGCAGACAGCAAATAACAGCAGCATTGGGACAGTGGGTGAGCAGTCCTGAGGCTGGCACTTGGACACGGACCTTGGTGCAGCTGGACACAAAGCAACATCTGGCATTGCCTGAGAGCAAACCTGGCTCCAACATGTCACCCTAACCCAGCCAGCATCTGCTGGTGTGGTGGCCCCTGCCCAGGCGACAGACAGGACGAGGGAGTTTCTAAAACCAGTGGTGACCTGCAAAGTGGAGCTGCAGGACTACCCTGTTCCTCCTCTGAAGCCTCTGTGGTTCCATGCACTGCTGCACACTGGCCCCAAAGCCCAGCCCAGGACCATCCAGGGGAACATGGTCCCTTCTTCTTGCAACCATCACGTAACACAAGAACAGTCAACTTACGGCTGGGCCCATGGATCTTGATGGGTTTGGTGCTGATGAGAGAGTGGGAGCAGTTCTGGCACACGCAGTCCTTCCCGCTGAACGTGACCTTGTCTCCAATGGGGAACGGCTTCCTGTGGCCAAGCAGAGGTGGGAAGGTGTGAGGAGCTGCTGCTCCCCTCCATGCAGTGCTTGGGGCTGCCTGTGAGCTCCTTCCCCAGGGCAAGAAGGACCCATGGTGCTGAGGAGAAAGGGCTACAAGGGGAGGCAGCGAGCGTGCACGTGTGCTGGGGCAGGAGGACCATGGCAGGTCTCCAGGGTGCATTGGGAAGGGCTGGAGCCATTTCATTTCCACCAAGAAAACCCAGACGAGGCTCCTGCTGTGGTGCTGAGTGGGGGACAAGGGTCTGTGGGCTAGTGAACAGCCCTGTCCTTGGTGCACAGCGCTTCTGCAGGGGGCCATGCACCCTGGTGATGGCTGAACCTACCTGCATGTGCTGCAGACAAAGCACTTGGGGTGGTAGGTCCTGCCAAGGGCTGAGATGACCTCTCCAGTGATGAAGTCCCCACAGCTGTCGCAGCGGGTCCCATAGAGCTGCTGGTAGTCGTGAGTGCAAATGTACTCCTGGTTCTTGAAGAAGAAGCCAGACTGGGCCAGGTCACAGCCGCACACTGCAGGGGGACATGCACCGTCAAGGGGGCAACGGGCAGGTCTAGCCCCCCTCGGCCGGCACCTCTGAGCCCATCTCTGCTGCCCCCCAGCAGAATTCCCAGCGCATCCCTCGAGACACAGCTTGCTCCAGGTACCTCAGGAGGTTTCCCTTCCCAGCGGACACACTGGGGCCTTCGCCCAGCACCACAAGATGTCAGTGTTGGGCTGCAGCAGGGTGCAGGATAGTGCTGCTGGACAGCCACGGCGGGGTGCTCACAGAGGGAACCCCTGCAGCTCCCACTGGCCACACACAAACAGCTCTGGAGGGCCTGTGGCATCCCCTCCTGGACCCACAGCACCCATGTGCCCCTCTGTTTGACACTGATGGTGTCAAGAAAGCCCAGTACAGAACTGCCAAAGAATGGGACATGCCCTAGGGACAGCAGGGGAGAGGTCTTCTCCACACCCTGGGGCATGGACTTCTCCATGATGAGCCATCTCCAGTCCCTGACCTGGACATGAAGCTGGGAACAGGTCCTGGGAGCAGCTAACTGGTGTTGATGCTCCCACTGCTTGTTTTTCCCGAGGTGACCAGCCCAACCTCACTTCCTTCCCTGCTGTGGGAACCATGGGTGGTGCACAGCCCATCAGGGTAATCCAAGTTGATGTGGCAAGCCCTGGCCCTTAGTGTCATTTCCCTCCTACATCTTCTCCATTTACAGAGAGACCTCGAGAGCATCAGACCCTGGAAGGCACCTCAGGAACGGCACAGGGGTCATGGGGTCTTTGCATGATGCCCATCTCCCATCCTGCAAGGTGATGGGGTGGAAACTACAGAGCAACCGAGCACTGACTGGCACAGCCCATCCCGGTCTCTGCTGTACCCCTCATGCCCAAGGGGGTGTGGGGTACCCCCAAGGGGTCTCAGTCCTGTCCTTGCACACCTTACCTACACCCATGGGCAGCCCATACAGCAAGCCACCCTCCCCAGGCAGAGCTGGACCCATGGGGCACAGATGCAGCTCCTCTCCCACAGAGCATCCTCACCCACTGCTCCCTGAAGCAGCCTGCAGCATTTACTTGTCAGTGACACGGGACAGGCCACCAGCTCTGGGACAGCATCAGGAAGCAGAAGCAAGAAGAATCGAGGCAGGTCTGGGCCCTATTTGCTGTGGGCCCCACAGCACATCCCCAGGGTCTGTACCAGCCGTGCCAGGCTCACAGGGACATGTCAGGAGCAAGCCATGGGGCTGTCAGGGGAGCTGGCAGCAGCCAGACGTGGCAGGGGGGTAAGAGCTGTGAGGGAAGGTGAGACAGGAGGATTTCCTCTCATTATTTATTCCCTTTCACTTGGAAATCGGGCAGCAAGCTCTGCCAAGCTCTCCCTGCTGGCTCCTGGGCCCTTTGAAGCCGGCAGCTGTCTGAGCTCTTTGTCTGGATGTGTAGCTCCTTCTTGATCCTTCATGTCCAAGCTGGGAAGGGACAGGGGGCTCAACACAGCCTTGGCACATACAGCACAGCCCTGGGGGCAACCTGGGACCCACATCCCACCTAGAGACCTGGGAGACAGCCCAGGGGAAGAGTCCCCTCCAAGCAAATCCCCTGCTCCCCAGGGAGGAGCAGTAAAGCATGACCGAGGGGATGGGGATTTATGTCCTGCTTAGCACAAAGTGCTGGGAGCTTGGAAGCCCAGAGCCCTGGTAATGGGATGCTTTACAACCTACAGAAGCAGCCATTGGCCTGGTTGAGAGCTGCTGCTTTAATAAATGTGCTAAGGAGCCCTTCAGCATCAGCTCCGGGCCGTTAGCTTTTACAGCTCTGCAGCTCCTGTGCACAGGGAGGATTCAAGCAGCCTCTCTATTCCTGCCAGCCCCTGGGGGCTGCGGTGTCCATGCCGCAGCAATCTGCATCCCACAGCACCTTGATCTCACCCCATGTGCAAGTGGCAGTGATCCATCACCCACCCCCAGCCCCGTCAGGAGCCACTCAGGGCATCTCCCCCACCTCATTGCCTCTCAGCCAGGCTGGAATCACCTCCTCCTCCTCCCGATGTGGGGGCAGGCAGGAGGCTGAAGGACACAGGGACCCCCCCAGATCCCAGATGGGCCATGGGAATGTTTGGGACCGGTGCAGTGAGAGCTGTTGGCATAGTGGAGGTAGTGATGGTGCCCAGGTCTGTCACCCCTGTTCACAGCCCACAGGCTGTGCCATCACACAGGGACACTGCCTGCACGCTGCAGCCCCATGCCATTACCTCCCCTTCTGCACCACACCATGTCCACCCCTGTGGGAAGCTGCCACCCTCAGGCATGTGACCATATCCCAGTGGACCAGGTAGGTCTGTCCCCAGCCTTTTGCTCTCCAGACTGCACCCAGGGCTGTGGGGCAGCCCAGCCACCAGCTCTTGGGGCAGCACCCTCATACCTTGGCAGGTGAAGCAGCGGATGTGGAAGTGGTTGCTCTGGACTCGCACCACCTCGCCCTTGCAGGTGTCCCCACAGCGGTAGCACTGGATGACGGTGGAGCTGCTCCCAGGGGTGTAGGGGTTCTGCTGATAGGGAACTGCTGGCAGAAAGGAGGGAGGGGAAAGCGAGAGAGGGGAAGGGTCTGTTAGCATTCGGGACACACACTGACCTCAGCTGCAAAGGAGCCCTCCAGTGACTGCGACGCAGCACCGGACATCAGGGCAAAGGACAGCAGAGACTGTGCTGGCACCAGTGACTGCATGCACATCCCTGTCTGGATTCAGGACTTTCCTGTCCCCATGAGAGAGCCACTACCTGTGTTTGGCTCAGAAGTCTGCAGCCCTAAGTGCTCCCTGTCCCTGCATGGATAACCAGGTCACCCACACCATCACCTCAAAGCCGTACAGAGCTCCCCAGACGCTCTCCTATCTCCTAGGCAGGTGCGGAAAGACACCGCATGGCCCAGCTACCCACCAGCTCTGCTCCGCTCAGCCCTCAAGCAGTCCTGGCTTGCTGCTGACCTGCTCAACCACAGGCCAGCGAGCACTGATTTGGCAGCAGCATGGGAAGGAACTGTTGTTTTTGTGGAGCTTCCACTTGTTTGGTTGGGAACTGGGTAAAGAAGTAATTTTTCAAGGAGCTTTCAAACATCACAGCAATTGAGCTTTTGGCCCTGGTGGGACTGTCACCTCCTCAGTGAGAAGCAGCATTCCCAGTCCCACTGCTCCTTCCGGAGCCGCAACGCAGCACATGCAGGCTCTGTGCTGAGCCAGGGGCTGCAAGGGAGGACAGGACAACACTGGTCCCCTGGAGGTGAGCAAGAGCCAACCTTCTCCTGCTGCAGATGGTGCTGGGTCTCACCTCCACTCCTTATCCCCCCAGCAGCTCCGCAGACCACCATGAAGGGCTGATGCTCGGCAGCTTCACTCCATGCTCCGGGGGAGGAACCACACGGAGCAGGAGGTCTTTCTGCCGTCTCAGCACAATCCCCAGACACACAGAGTACACATTTTAGAGAGCAGCTCCTGCTTTCCCTGACCCACTTGCAAGCGCACGGGATGCTTGCAGGAGCTGACCCCATGCTAACCGCTGCAGGCAGGGGCCAAGCAGCAAAGGACTTGCTTGCTGTAAGATGTCAGAGAGGGAGATGCAATTCGGGCAGCTTCAGCAGTGAAGGGCAGGATTTCAATGGACTGGAGACTTTCTGACCCAGTGCTGAACTGCATTCCCAGGAACAAGAGAAGCAGCTGATTGAAACCTGGTATGTGAACTCCCTCCAGAGCTGGGAGGAAAGGACACAGGACAGAGGAGATCACTCATCAGAGAGGCTTCTCATTCACATGGGGGGCAGATCATGTGGCAGGGAACAGAAACAGCCCATTATTGGCTTCAAAAGCAAAGAAAGAGAAGTCAAAGTGACACTGAGACTGTCTCACAGTAAAACCCCATCCCATGTGCCAAGTACCCAGAGACACACTCTGGGGATGTGCAGCACTGGGAAAATGGGCTGACCCTCCCTGACCACTCCAGCAGCTCCATCCTGCCTTGCCCAGTCCAACCTGCAGGCTGCAAGGAAAGCCGAGGTGCTTCCCTGTGAGTGCCTCCAGCAAAGATCAGGCTCCAGCCCCAACGTGAGCTTCTAAGAGCTGCTGGGACTTCCCTCCCGACCCTGCTCTTGCAGCTCTCAGAGGCCAACAGAGGTACCCAAGGTACTAAAGGGCACTGCAGTGCCAACAGAGGAGCTACAAATGGGATTGAGGTCTGGAGCTCAGACCAGCAGACACACTAAGTAGACTAGGTCTAAATGACTTTGAGATCCTAAATATGCCCATGGCAGGAGGGTTGGAACTAGATGGTCTTAAGGTCCTTCCGAACCCTAACTATTCTATAATGAGGGATACCTGTAAAGGGAGCAGGGAGGAACAATCCCTGGGAAGAGGGGTGCAGGACCTCCTGTGGTGGCTGCTGCTGGTGGGAGCCCATGAGCTCTGCAGCAGCCTGGGGGGACCCAGGCCTGACCCCAACAGGATGTCTGGAATGAAGGGGGGGGATCTCTTCTTAGGGGTCTCCAGCAGAGCAAGAGTTACAGCACTGGAGCTTCCTCCCACACACCCCATTCTCACACCCTCACCAAGAATGAAGCAGAAGCCAAGCCCTGGGACCCAGCCATTGCAATCCATAAAGCTTGGAGAGAAAAGCAGGAGAGAGGTGGGGTGAGAGGCTGGAATTAATCAACACTTAAACAAACATTAATAATAAAAAATAAGGGAAGGAGGAAAAAAAAAAATCAATGTCAGAAAATGCAGGCATCACTTATTCCGGGCTTCTGGTCTCCAGGGGAAACTTCCTGGTGTCCATAGCAACACATCGCCAAGCCCCTGCACTGGCAGCTCTGATGGGAGGGAAGGCAGAGGAAAAGGAGTCGAGGATGGAAGAGATGCTTCCATCCACCACTGGCACAGGCAGAACCGATACGGTCACTCCTATTTGTACCCATGGAGATGGGTCAGGACCCAGCTTAGGCACGGTCACCCTCCTGCCTGCCAGCTTTGTTCAGCATTACACCAAAAGCTCCCTGATTTGTGATTAACCTCCGGTCCACGCTGGAATTTCGCTCCGGGAACATTAACGCATTGTGTTGCTGGGGCTCTGGTTGTTTGTGAGCAGGCAGCTGCCCGCCTCGTGGCCCTGCACAGGAAGTATTACACATCACAACACCCTTGAGCGGGGGGACAGCTGAGCAGGGCAAAGCTCATTACACCCAAATAATCCAGTAATAATGTAAGTAGCATTAGTGGCCTCGCAGGCTGGAATACAGCAGTGTGGGTGAGGGAACTGCCCAAGGAATGCCTTAATCTCACCCCAGTTTGCTGCTGCTATTGCTTGTAGAGTGGGAATTAAGCTGGCTTCGCTCAGTAGTTAATGCATTCGTGCACCATGCTGCAATGCAAGAGGTCGCCCAGGGCTGGGCTCCTCCAGGGATGCCCCATGTCCTGCGTGGTGCTTGATCTGCTGTGGCTGCAGCCAAGGCTGCCTGTGCACCCAACAGATTTCCCACTGATCCGGATTACGGTGGCACCTCCGGTCAGGGATCCATGCCCTGCGTGGGCTTAGGGACAGACAGCAGCAGCCATACGTAAGCAAGGGAGCCTGTAACCTGGGAGGGGGGAGACAGTGCCCCCAGACAGTACCTAAGGGTGCATAGAGAAGCTTTGTCCCCCAGGAGGGAAGAGGGACCTTGCCCAAGAGATGCTCCCAGCCATGCTGCAGCGAGAGATCTGCAGGTTCCTGCTGCGCATCCCTGGGCAATCCCCCTCCTTCATTCCCACAGCACCCACCTTCTGCTTCAGGAGGGTCAACAGCCTTGTTTGCCTTCCTATCCTCTTTCTGCCAGCCCTCTGCTGAGGAGCAGCAGGGTGGGGGGAATACTAAACCCTTACACTGCCTCTGAAACACTTTGAGCCCTACGAGAGGATGGGGCTGATGGGAGACCATTCCCATCACAAAGGGATAGCAGCTCAACCCCAATTCAAGTAATAGGGCACAGCCTCCCAGGATAGCTCACGGGTGAAAAGCTCCAAAGAAAGCTCCATACCTCACCAGCAGCAAACCAGGACCAAGTTTCCAGGAGCATAAGCTGGAAGAAAGAGGATACCCAGGGGCATTTATAAAGAATCATCCATCATCCCTTACTGGGATCTGACCAGGTCCTGATGGCTTCCCACCTATCTCCTCCTCCCTGCCCATCAGCCCTCCGGGAAGATCAATTAGGTAGAAACTGCTGCAGGTGGAGTGTGCATCATTAGCAACAGGTAATTGGGAGAGTCTGCCCTAACACTGTGTTTGCTATCAGCATGTTTATGAGACTGCATCTCCACAGGGGGATGGGGAGGCCTGATTTAATTAATTACTGGTAATTAATATTTGCACAATGCTTGGAGAGCCACAGGTGAAGGGGACCGTGGAAGAGCAAAGCATTCAAACTTTAATTAATAATGAGAGGTGGTACCACTGTGGGAAGCTGAGTTGGGTGGGTGCTGCTGGGGCTGAGCTCTGGCATGTGCAATGAGATGTGAGCAAGTGGGTGCAGGCTGCACACAGGGGAGGTGTCCTTGCTGGGTGCTGTGGGTATCAGCATGGGATCCAGCTCCATAGGTGCTGGGAGTGAGCTTGGGAGTTGGGATGGATGCTGGGAGGTGAGGGGGAGCAGCAGTGTGTCAGGGCAGATGATGCTGTCAGGAGCCCTCACACCTCCATAGGGCTGAGCCCCCTTCCAGCAGCAGCTGCCTCCCACTTCTCCCTGCTCCCCGCAGTGAGCAATTGACCAGTCATCCTCTGCACATCCCCTGCACTAAGTAGGGCTGTAAATCATCCTCTCACACAAACCCACTGGGGGTGGTGGGACCAGCATGGCACAGGGATGCTATCCAATGGGATGTGGCTCTCCTGGCAAGGGTGAGGGAAGCCAGGCAGCCCGCTGGGCACCGAGGTGGGCTGGGCTGGCAGACCTCGTGCCCTTGTGTCCCGAGGGAAGGCTGATGCTGCGGCACTTGGCGAAGGCAGGGAGCAGGCTGGGAGCATGGCGGGGGCT